GGCTTTATAAGTGATTTTGCTTATTGGTATGAGTTGGCTTTTGTAATTTGTGATCCGTGAAGAATACTTGCCATGAATACATCAATCAGTTGGAGGAAGTAGTAGCAAGCCTGTTTGATTTTCTTTTGTAATAGGAGTTCAGACACTATATTCCCACCCCCTAATCTATCCTTAAGATAGGAAAAGCTGGTAAAAGATGCTTTTCCTGATAGTGGCAGTTAAAATTGAAGTATCACTTTCAGCTCTGGGATAGAAATTGCCTGATTTCTTAATGTATTTCTGTTTTACATACAATCCTACATATGTCTCTGTTTTTAACCATCTTCATTCTGTGCTTGCTCCAAATCAATATATCAATTCCACGTGTTTAAAAATCCCCTTCCAAAATAAGAAATTGGAGGAAAGGGGGAAATCCTCCGTAGCAGGGCAGGGAGCTGGGAACACTATCAGCACACCATGTTCTGCTCACTGCAAGGACAGCTGAACAGACAGGAGCTGCAGCACAAAGGCTGAAGCAAAGGGACGAAAGTATAACTGAACCTTCTCCCTGTTTTCCTGTGTCTTTTTAATGAATTAGTCAGTATGATGCTTATGGTGTGATGTCAGTTATGACAGCAGCTGCTTGGCATATTGCTATAATTGAGAAGAAAGGAAGAGAGGACGAGAGGGTGAAGAGCTGTCTGAGGGAGGGAGTGTAAGGGCTGGAGGGAGAGTGGACAAAGGGCACTGCCACCAGTGTCTGTGGGACACTGACACCCCTCAGGAGCTGTCATTAATTAGGATCCTGGCAAGCAGCCCCTATAATCTTGTCTAGGTTTGATTACTTGTGCCTTCAGCATCCTTTTCTTTCACCTGGAAAATTGTAGTTGTGGAAAATGCTCACATTTTTTTCTATCCCCTTTCCCTATACCCTCTCCTGATGGACCATCTCACACGGACAACTGACAGATCAGCCTCATACACCAGCCTGGCTTTGTTGCATTTACAAGCATGGTCTCTATGTAACTTCACATTCTCCAAAATATCTTTCTTGCTGTCCCTCATGTTGCTCCTAAAGATCCATGCCAACTGCAGATAAGATGGTGAGGCTCCTTGTCAGTGGAGTCTGTGACCCATAATCCTGACTGATCCTGGTATTCCTTTTCCATCTTTGTTTCCTCTTTGATTCTAGGATGGAAACCATCTTTTTGCTATGCATTTGTAAAGGGTATATCAGGATGTGGTTATCTCCCAGAACAAGGGCTTTCATATACCCATACTAATGGAAATATAAAAGTATATGAAAAAAATGATATGGAAGAACTGCTTTTCCTTACATCTTAGTCATGGATTTCTTGATAAATATGATACAATAACACCCATTTTTAGATGATGACCTCTGTGATCATCAGCACTAAAGGCTTTTTGGTTCCATGTGGCAGAAGGGGCCCTGGATGGCTGAGGTCACCACTGCTTCCATGTGAGTGCTTTGCAATAGTTGTAATTGAGAATCCTGCGGTTGGATACTGTAGAGAGCCAAAAAAGTACTACCTAGGAGGAAAATCAGAAGAAAGATTTTCCCCCTTAAAAGGAAGTTATCTGATTTCTCTCTTCCTTAGATGTACAGATTGAATCTTAACTGCACAGGGTACTTTTTGCTGTTTCTGTCAAGGAGAAAGGAAGGATTCTGATTTAATAAATGATGTGTGTGAGACATGGCTGATGACTACCACTCATTAATTTGTCCAGTGCTAGTTTTCAACCACTGCAATTGTTTTCCTATTTTGTGGCCACATTATCTGCAACTATGTCACGTGTCAGTACTCTGAATTTGCTACATCGCTGTATTCCCTGGGTTTCTCCCCACCCTTCTTCCTTGGTTCTTCTTGGTTTATCACTCAAAAAGACATTCACTGTGCAAATAATGTTGCTCCTCTGTCGATTGCCTTGTTGCTTAAATACTATTCCAATGTAGTAGATAAGTTACTGCTTCCAAGACAGATTGGCTGTTAATTTTTTTCCATGCCTTTGAGAAAAAGGAAGTTATGTCAGGAAAAAGACTATGTTTATTGGGAAGGAGGAAGATGCTGTGCATTTGAAACCTCTGAGAATAGTTGATTTTCAGTTCAAGGTAATACATTTAGTTAACTGAAGAGGAGACTTTAAAAGGCAAAAGTGTAAGTTAGGTTCCTGTTATTCCCTGTAGCTTCTCTTTTCTTCTCTGATCTGTAGGATTTTGCAACTTTTTGGCCAGAAATACAGTGATCCAGTAAATAAATACTATTAAATCCACTTTTCTAATATTGTAAAGGAGAATTCCAGAGTATGCAAACAGAATGGGAGCAAGCTGTCAATGCTGTTCTTGTCACTGGTGGTTAATCACCACACTTAGCCTAAGTATTTGAAAACAGTGTAGTTACTTTGAATTTCCCATGAGAAATTTACCATGACAAATTGGAACAGAATGTGGATTTCTATTAGATGTATAAATTATTGACAATTTTTCACATCCTGAAAGCCGTATTGATATATGGATAAAGATAACTGTTTCTTCATGAGCTCAAGTCCTTGAGTTTTAGCACAGTAAGAGATTTATACAACTTGCCTGAGACAGCACAAAGTCTGTGTTAGGAGCAGAGTATTTTTAGACTCTAATTTTTTTTAATGCATTCAGGTAATAGGCCTATTTTTTGTCTATAAGGTATACCCCAAAGTAATGCTTGTAATCAATAGAGTGTCCGGATGGTCAGCATCTCTGAGAATTAATGCTCGCTAAGAGAAGAAAGTGGTTTTCCTTTTAAAAATAAGAGATCAACAGAGACAACAGAATAAAATACTGAAAAAAAAAACCTCTCCATTTTTCTTGATTTTTCAGAAAACAAGACACATCCGCAATTATAGTTTCTAGCTCTCCTAAGTGTGAAAAACCAGCTATGAAGAAGAAAATTCCCAATCAAGCGTGTCATGTGTGGGAGAAAAGGAGCTGCTAGTTTTCAGGCTGTCACTTCACCCCTACTGCTTCAGCCTGAAAACAGCTGAGGCTCGTTCTAGAAAAATTAGCCTGGTGTACTCAACTACAAATGAAAGGAAGACAAGGAGGGGTGTGTTGTTTCTGTTTTCCTTCAGGAAGTCCTGGGTTATTAGTTTTGGAGGATTCTGACTAGTTTGTTATCAAAAAGAAAGAGGTAATAATATGTAGCATTAAAAAAAACCTATACATGTAAGCCAACTGATATTTTGAGCTTTGGGATTGCATGTATGGTGCTGCCCTGCAGCAGAAATAGGGTCAAATCAAAGGCTGCTACAGAGAGTGAAGCAATAGTAAAAATGCCTGTTGGTAGAGAAATAGCTCCTGTCTCCATCAAAGCAACCTGGATCAACTGTAGACTTTTCAAATCAATATCCAGGATCATGGGGGATATAAAACTTTAAGCGTGCTGGCCTAAGGAAACAATAGGAACTGTTGCAGTAGAGCTGAGTTGCAGATGACTGAGAGTGTATGACGTGGGCACAGCGCTGTGCTCCTCTGATGGGAATGCGGCGGTGAGCTGGGATTAGGGGACCCTCTGTGGGCATGTCGGAAAGGCTCGAGGGGGTGAATGGAAGGCTTCTGTGAGCTCTGCTCCATGGCTGCGTCCCTCTGGGTAGCTGTAACTGATCCTTGTTTTTAAACGTGTTCAGACATCTTTAATCTGAAATGACCCTCTGAGAAATGATCTCAAAGTCCTTTGGGGGGATTTCATTACCAGAGCCTGGAGAATTGGCTTAAGAAGGGAGGCTTCCCGGGTGGAGGAGCCTCCAGCATTTACTTTGCAGTCAGAGTGCAGACCTCATTTTGCTCTACTCGGAGGAAACGGGAGTTTGTCTGGAGACAGCCTAGAAATCTTTTCTGGCAGTGAATTGCTGCCTTATTCGGGAGCCAGGATGCTACGTAGGAGTTGAAGGTGCCTGTGTTCCTCTTAGTTTCCAGACCACACTGAAAGAATTCTGTAAAACCTTATTTTATCGCTGATTGGAAAACACAAGGGAATTTGCCATGTGGAAAGCACTAGTGTGTTATTGGGCTAGGGTAACAGATTAAGACCAGCTTTATTGTGTGTGAATGTAGAATTAAACAAGGGGTTGTTTGTTTGTTTGTTTTAAAAGGGAAACAAATTGATATGGGGTATATTGCAATATCTTCCTAATGCAAAAATGATCACATACTGCCCGCTGAGAGGGACTTTATTTAATCTGTGTAAGCTATAGCTTTGCAAATTTACCACAGAGGGAACTTCCTTCAATGCAGCAGAGAACTGCTGGGATTTGCAAGAGCCTTTCTTTTTTTTTTTTTGCCTGCTTTTGGAAAGCCTGCAAAAAGAGGGCAGTCTTTATGATTTATAGGTAACCACGTACAGAAAAGTCCATTTTTTACTACTCCATCAAGTTAAATGGTAATTGTCAGCCACACTTTCTTTTTCCACCTCCAAAATACAAGGCTATCTGTCTAACCACAGTGTGGCACTAATGGCATAAGTGCAGGAGAACACAGATAGGAATTAAGCACCAGCTGTGTCATCATCTTCATAAATGCAATATTAAAGATATTGTAATACCTTAATTTTTTCTTTCTGCTTGTGTAAGGCAGAGCTGCACAACAAAGAATATCATAACTTTTCTGATGAAGTGCAGCTTGTAGCCATTTTTACATCAAATGACTCCTTTGCCCTCCTATTCTGCCAACAAATGCTCATCTCGCTAGGGCTTTCCTTGTACCAGTATTAACAATCTGTTATACACCAGATTGGGGTCATTAACCACTCATTAGTTCCTGAGCGAGGAAAGCCACCTCTTGTATGTTGAATATTGATTAGGAAGCAACAGAGCATACCAGTATGAAACCACCATGGAAGATGCTCAACTTCTGATGCAAAGCCTCTGCATTTGTTTTGTAATGTTTTGAATTCGATCCGCTGCTGCTTTCTTTTTCATTTTTTTCTGGTTGCTGTCTTTGTCTTTCCTCTTTTGTACAGGAGCGGGCACCAAATAATAAACAAAAATATGCTGTCATCTTCAACCTCTTGTGGGATGGAGGAGAAGTCTGACAACTTAACTTGGCTTTGCTATCCCTCATGGGCAAGCGTGCTTCCTTTCCTTCCTCTGATGCATTGCAAGCGTAATGTGTCTTGTCCTGCTGCCAATACCACACAATAGATTACAGTGCTTTTCTGAGCAGAGATACTGGTGAGTAACTTCCATCTCTACTGAAATTAATTCATACATTTTTCCTTGGTTTGCATCAAAATCAAGTAACTTGACTGATTTAAGGTCCAGACCTGTAATTCTTAAATATATAAAACCCTTTCAAAAGAGGATGACCTTGAGGTAATAACTTCAAAAGCTGATAATAAGATTTGTGCTCTGATAGTAATAGGTGTTTAAAAATTAAACAAGCAAAACATTGTTTCAGTGTTTAAAAAAAAAAAAGCCCTCATACATTTTATCATAATATGTGCTATAATCCAAGCCTGACTGTGCATAATAAGCTTGTAATTCCATTGATTCATTGATGGTGAGATAACACCTGTAAATGACAAATAGACTGTGTGCACAAAATGGTGTGCAATGAGCCTGCTGCAGCGTCACAACTTCCCTGTAGTTCCACTGTGTTGCTGTCCTTCTGCCTGCTAGGAGCAGCGTATCTAGAGGTGATGGAACTTGCTCACTGCTCTCAGAGCACTGTAAAACAAACTGGTTAGCTTTTGTAGATGTTTCCACTAGTTAAGACACTGCTTTAATTTGACTTGTTAGACTTCTTTTCTCATACGTTATGAAAAGACACTTTTTTTTAGGATGTATAGCTGATGAAATTGATCCTTGGAGTAATTGTCACACAAGAACCACACTGATTGCCTATGATACTGGTGCTTCTCAGGATAGTTTTTTTCTGGTAAATCTTCCTATGTTGACAGAGGGAATTTTAGTTTTGTGGTAAGGTACACATGCATAATATCATTAAAAAGGCAAGCTTTTAATATAAACATAAAATCCAAATTCAGTGTGTAATGAACGTGATGTATGTATGTGGATATGTATGTGTGAACAGAATTTTACCATTAGAAAAAGCATAAGTGTTTGAAGGTGTGAAATTAAAGGCAAAGGGAGGGCAATCTGCTCCTCTGCACATGGCATCCCCACAAAAGTCACAGGGCCAAAATATCCCATTTCTAAAGACATGATCTCCTACTTCTGAAGTCAATGACAAAAAAAATCCATGCTATATCAGTAAGGCTGAAGGCTTTTAAAAGCTATTAATATCATTTTATCCACTACTTGTTTTGGAAAATGAGACAAGCTCACTTGAGTCATCTTTTGTGGCTTCAGAGTCAGCATAACAGACCACAGGCTGGAGATCCCATCTCACCTGACTGTCTTCATCTCTGTGAAATGTACCCCTACTTTGGAGAGAAGGATGTGTGTAATTTTGTTCTCCATTATTCATTTCAGAAAATGTAGCCTCATCTATTTACTGGTCTGTGATGAGGCAGAAAGCAGGGTCTGCTTATCTAATAATCTCCCTGCATCCAATTCAAAATCTTGCTACGCTTTCCTGAGGCAACACTGTCATAATTTCTCCATCCAATCCCTGCTAACTGCCTCTCTTAGCTTGATGTAGACTTCATAAAAAGTAAATATCAGGTTCATGCAAAATAAGATTTGCTTTGCTGAGTGTTAAAGTCTGTCCTTCTGATGTAGACTCTTATTTTCATTCAGATAAAGTCTGTTTATGAGGCTCATAACTTTCTGGAAATATCTCTTGTTTGGTGTGTGTGTGTTTGGTTGGTTGTTTTTTTTTTTTATTTTTTTTTTATACTAATATGATTGGGGTTTAGGCATTTGCAGCTAAATGAATGCTTCCTGTTCTCATTTCTCATTGCTCCCAAGGAGTTCGAATAGAAACCACAGAACTTACTTTTCCATATAAAGCTCTGGGTTAGATTGCTTCAGTGATCAGGGAATACTGTGGACTTCTTAAATATAGTCTTGTCTTGAATGCTGGTGATCTTGGCAGCTTTATTTCCGGAATCAGAGGTAGAAATACCAGCTGTTTTCTGCCTGGACATGGGAGGTTTTTTTTCTCCTGCAGTTCTTTTTGGGGCTGTGTAATGGACTGGTTGTCAGCTGTGGGTCTGCATGAGCTGTTTGAACACAAACATCTTTTGGCAGGTGGGTGCAAGAGCCCCAGCCCTTCTGAACCAAACGTTCTTCTATAATGACTCAGGGCAAAAGATAGGGAAGGGTCTATAGGACAAGATGTATGAGGTGACCCCTGGGTGGGCTGCAAGTAGCACGATCACCCTGAGCTCTCACCTCTGCTGCCTCCTGCAGAAACATCTCTCAGTGTGGGCAAGTACACACAAGTGCTATCTGTCGATACATTTAGATGCAAAAAGGTTTATCTTTATGTGAAGTCTGTATGCAAGGCGTTGCATCAAAGATGTGAAGTGTTGTAATGTTCAGAGATGAGAATGTTGTGGGAGAGGGTTAATGCTTTACATTAAGGCAGCATTGGTGACCTGTAACTCGGTGCTAGTAAACCAAGTTGTCTACAGAATGTAGACCCGTATCTCTTTTGTTTTCAAGATAAGCCTGACAGTTCTCATTTAAGCTGGTTCTCCTAATTCCCAAGCCAAAATTGTGTATTGCTAAAAATAGAGATTGTAATGAAGTTACAGCTTTCAACTGTGGGGCCTTCTGGATAACTCCATTATATTGCAGCTCTATTAATTAAAATGAAGGAGGAAAAATATGTAATAGGATTGTGTTAATAAAGCATGAAATGAAGTGTTACCTTAAGACACTTGTCTATCGGTTTTCCCTTATTGCATGAGCAGTTGTCTTTCCCAAAATACACTGAAATTGGGTGAAGAAATTTTCTTTCTTTCTTTCTTTTTTTTTTTTGAAAGGTAGCTTCCAGGTTTCCTATTCACTATAATTCTGGCATCCTCTGCTTTGTCACCAAATTATTTTAGCTTTTTATGGGGGGCAATGAGTGGGAATACAGTGTAGCCTGAATTGGTGCTTCATGTGGAATGCAGGCTGCTGAGAGCTGCAGACTGAGTCACTGGGGCTGCTGGAAAAAAAAAAAACCCACACCTATAAATCCTATGTCCTTTCAGAGGAACTTGTACTGAAAAATAACTTTCACATCTCACCTTAAACCTAAAGGGTTTCTAAAATAGGCTATAGTGTTATAAATCTGCAGTACAATTCATAGAATCTTAATGGTTATCATAATGCAGAAGCAAAACTCTTATATCAGTATGACTGTACAAGGAAAGAAAATTGAATCTTTCCCTGTATTTTCTGAATTAAAATTTAAAACATAAAGCTGCAGAACAGATCTAGGAGCTGCAGGTAATGTTGAACTTGAATCTTCAAGCATGGTATTATGCCCAATGGATTAATATTTTTTTTTTGCATAGCTTTAGTATATTGCCTCATTTTTCACGTACAATCTACGCATATATAATTTTTACACATTTCCACCAAATAGGATTGGAGATCTTGTGAAACAGATTGAACTGACCTCAGCTGTTCATAGGGCTGAGGTCTAACAAATGCAGGTCTCTGAACGATAGCGTTCACATTAAAAGGCATATCAAATGTTAAATTTTACTAGTATTTTAAAGAATTGCATGTTAGTATGTGCAACATTCATATCATTTTTAAAAGGAAAAAGAAGTCATCCATCAGGTTTCAATAAAGAGAAAGTTCAAGCAGGAGTCAGTTTGTGCGCTTGCCAAGGAAGAATTCAGAAGTGAGAGCAGATCGTAAGGTCCAAGTGGGCAGGTGTGTGTGGCAGTGAAGGGAGCACGGGAAATCTGCCACTGGCAGCAGCCAGCACAGCTTCCAAGGGGCTATAAAATCCTGGAAATCAAAGCAGAGGCAAGATGTAAACTATGCCAGCTTCTGTCCCTTGCACAGCTCAGAGACACCTTTGTAGAAATAAAAAGTAATACTCTGAGTAAACCAAAATGACAGAGCGCTCGTTGCAAAGTGCTGCTTGAGCATATGTGCAATCCAGTTACTAACTCAAATGAAATATTCTTCTGACTGTTATGGGCATCAGCCTTGCACCACAGCAGTGTCTGTGTCAGAACTGGAAAAAGTTCCATAACTTATCCTAAAAAGTCATTAGTTACTAAGGTGATTTTTTTCAGTATAGCTGGATCAATTCACCTGAAATTGTTGCTAGAAGGAAACAAAAATATATTTCTTGGTAAGAGTTTCCATAGCTGAAGTGATGTTTTTCCAAGTTGAAATGCATCAGGCTTTTGATAGCCATTATTAGATGATATACTGTTGGGAGACTTCAGTTCTGAGGTGATCTTGTCTCATTTCGCTAAAATTAAAGGGTGATTTGTGAGCTTACTGTAGGGGGAGCAACACTGGCAATTTTTGTTGCAGGGCTTGAAGTTTTACTGTGAGCTTGCAAGAGAAAATGAAAAAAGCTCGATGTGCATTTTCATGTCTTACATTTTGAAAAATCAGCATAAGAATGTATTCAGTGATTAAAATGGACATTCCTTTTGGTGTTCAAATAAAAAAGAAGCGAACTCTTCTATCACAGATTGTGAAATATTTGAAAATAATGAACAATAGCTCCAGTAAAGATTTTCATCTGAAATATCAATGAAATATTCTCTGCTGCTCAAACTGCAATTGGATGTTAATCCAAGCAAAAAAATAAACTAAAAAAAAAAAAACCCCAAACAAATCACTAACTTGCCTGCTGCTTCTCTGGTAGTGATGAGGATTGCATTGTAGTATGCTGATCACACTGCCAGCTGGGTGCTGTTTAGTCTGACAGTAGCTCTCATCACATCCCTGCTCTGCAAACTGTCCCTTGTGCTGCTTTCAGAGATGATACTGATGCAAAGTAGCTCAGCAAAACCTCTGCTGAGCATTTGCACTGGTGTAGCAGGAGGGAGAAAGCACTGTGCAGGGAGGAGGAGTGTGACCAGGGGATCTCGATGCTGCCAGCGTGACACTTGTCAGGTCACATGCATTAAAAACTTATGCTACAGACTGTATGACTAATTTGAGCTGACGTGTCTGATCTATGTTTTTGTTTGATGTAGTATTTCAGCCTTGCTGTGAGCTGCCTGGGTATTCCTCCTTGTCCCTGCAAGGTGCTGCTGCAGGTTTGCTGTCTTGGCAAGTATTCCTGCTCTGGCTGC